TCCCTCATTTCCCCTAGTGCTGGATAGGGTCTGCCCCTTCCCAGCAAATTCAGATTCCTAAGAGGAAGGAAAAGAGAAGTCTGGACGCTCCAAGCCAAATCCAGCTCCTGCCCAGAGGCAACCCTCCCCGACAGACAGACAGACAGACAGACAGAGACCCTGGGCTCATCTTCCCAGGAGAGGCCTCTCAGGGCTGCTCTTGTCCCTGCCGGTGCAGCCTAGCCCCCAGGAGTCACCCTCCCACACCCTGTGACACCCCGCCCTGTAACTCTCCTGCCTCCCTCCCCCCTTCTCCCTCCTACTCTCCCTCTCTCCTCCCCTGTTCCTGATCTCCCCATCAATGGCCTTTCCTGGCCCTTCGCAAAGGATCCCCTCCCTTGTTACTCCCAGTCGGGTCTGAGTGACAGGTCACCGTGGGGCTTGGCTTGTCACTGAAGGGCAGGGACGCTGTCAGGGGATGGCCTGTGGTTTCTTTTCTTAAAGAGCCCTTCATCCCCACTTCCCTCTCTCTGCTACTCGTTTGCCGTGGTCCAGACTGGTAATATGTCTTTGTGCTCCCACCGGGAAGAACCAAGCACAAGAAGACAGCAGCTTCAGTGTCTTCCCAAGGGCAAGGGCTTGGGTTTTTCCCCTGGCTTTGGGATTCTGTTTGGAATCTTCATGGCCCGTGCTGGAAAGGAAACCTCTGATTTAGGCTTTCCCTTCCCAAAGTAGACAATGGACGGAGTGGCCCAGCAAGCCCCACTGCCTCGGGAGGCCGACACAGAGTGGCCTTAGTGTGGAGGCCAAGGGAGCACAGTAGGGCTACAGAAGGGCGTGAGCACTCCTGGGGCTTCTTCCATGCCCCAGTGCCCCCAGTAGGCTGCACTTGTCCCTCTTTCAGAGTGTCCCATCCCTGCCAGCCAATCTAGGCCCCCACTGCTCCTAAGTCAGCTCCGAGCTTGTGCTTCCGAGGGACCAGCGCTGCCAACCTGAGCCCTGTTTCCTTTTTGCTCCTCGCACCTAGATACACGGTGGCCGTTATCCCCGATCACTCTTGTTGATACATCCCGTCTCCCCAGGGACCCTCTGCTTTGATGCTGTAGGATTCCCTCCAGAGCTCCCCAGCTCAGGTTTTATACACAGAAAGCACCCAGTCTGCAGGCTGCTGGACGCACTCATAAGTGGCCACTGGTGTCCTCGGCTCCCAGCGGCGCTGCCCCTGCGATGCTCCTCAACTGAGTGTCCCGATAGCAGGGGAGTTCCGGAGTTGGAGACGGGCGTTGCCACCATCCTCATCCTCCTCCCCTTTGATGACTTCTTAAGTCGGCGGTGCTCAGCACTGTCAGCACATTCTTAAAATCTGCAGACCCGGGGCTTGACACCACAATTAACCAGAATCTCCGAGGGTGGGGCCCAGGCGCTGGCATCTGCTAAAGTTCCCTGGTGGCTGGAATGTGTAGCCAGGGCTGAGCGCTCTGGTTTAATTCACGGTCCTGAGCTGATGCAAGCGGTCAAGCGGAGCAGAGGGTGTGCAGTGGACGGAGCCCTTCCACTGAGTCACCCCCACCTAGTTGACATCTGACATGGTGGGCCAGTATTGGGGTGTGTGTGTGCACATGTGTATGTATGTGCAGTGTGTGTATACAGGAGAGCCAAGAAGGTGGGAAAGGCAGAGAAGCTGTGGTCCAGCCCTTGCCATGGGGTTGACGAGCCCAGGAGCACTCAGGAGAGATTCCGTGATCGCCCAGCAAGGCAGCGCCCTGCCCAGAACGACCTGGCAGGATCCCAAGGGTGCGGCACCTGGTTGGACTGGAAGCCCCATGCTGGAGCCAGTGCAGGGCAGAGGGAACACAGCCTGCCAGGGATAGAAGAAAGGGGTTTCTGTGCTGCTTATCAGGACGGTGGCTCCAGGACAGGATGTGGAGGAGGCTTCCACAGCCCGCCCGGCGGACGGCTATAGTCAGCGCCATGTCACGGTGAGGACTTTGGACAGGGAACCCCACCTCCAACTTGCTGGTGACATTGGGTGGCAACTCTGTGGTTAGGCCTGGGGTAAGTCATGGGCCTGCCTGTGAACGTGGGGGACAGGTGACAGCAGTGGGCAGCAAGCCAGCCACAAAGTGCCGTTTCCACGTCAGATAAGGGGCACAAAAACTGCTCAGACACCTTGATCTTCCTCATTGAAAGAAACCTTGGATCCGGGGCTCTGCAAAAGGTAGAGAAAGCTGGTTGTATTCACTCGACCATTTGCGGGCAGCGAGAAAATACTGAAAAAGTTTGGAGGAAAAGGACTCCACTGTGAAGATCTGTCCAAGAAGGCAGGGCAAAGGCTGATGAAATATTGGCAAGAATTTGCCCTTAAGGTTCATTTCTTCAACAGAGAGATATCCCAGATGTACCCTGCCCCTGGAATAGAAGCTCAGGGTCAGCTTGGTCTACGAAAGTGATAGCAGAAGCCTCTAGAACAAGCTGTATTTCTGCCCGGGGCTGGCGAGAGCGTGCTCCTCAGCATCCTATAGCTTGAGCAGGGCTGGACAGTGGGATCCAAAGCTGGGTTTGGATTCCTAGACCAGGCCCAAGAGGGGAGGCTCTTGACTCTGATCCCAAACCCAGCTCCCCGAGGCTGCTCTCATCACCCTCCCTGGACAACAGAGGGAAGTTGTGACCCTTTTATCCTGCCCTGTAGACTGGCTGAGGGTGATAGTTAGGGACTCAGAAAAGGAGGAGAGGCAAGCTGACCCAGCAGAGCCCCACGGTTGACTCCCAGGCCTCACCTAGCAGAGGTGAGACCCAGCTGCCTAGGACAGACTCGTAAGGGTCACCCAGAGGCGACCAGGACTCCTTGTCCATTGCAGCTTTCCATACTCAGAAATGCAGCAGAATGGTCCAAGCTCATCAAGGTGCCCTGTAGACCCTCCCAGGAGCTCTCATCCCCTCTGTACCAAGGGAAAGATCTAGTCTCCAGGCAGTTCCTGAGGCTCAGCGGGGATGGAGCCTGGAGGTGACCAGAGGAAAGATGCCAGCCCAGGAGGAACAAGAGTCCAGGCCTCCTGGGAGTTTCTGTGCACCTGAACAGACCAACCAGCACACAGGAGCACGGTATCAGAAAGACCTTCGTGTTGCACAAGCGTTCTCCGAGGAGGTACTCTTGGCCTGTCCAACCTTATGAGTGATGTAAATATCTCACAGAAGTATCAACAAGAGCAAATGAATGCATGCTGGTGGGGAGTCAAGCAGAGGTCAGACATCCCCGTCAGATCTACTTGAAGCAGGACTCTGTAATGGGGTGAGTTTTGATTCAGGGTAGAAAGTATTCTGAGCCTGTCTTGGAAAGGGAACCTGTGAGTTCTTGGAAAGGCCCACCCTGGCCCCGTTCTGCTTCTTGAAGCTAAGTCAGCCATCTTGTTGGCACTGACTGTCCTACAGTCCCATTCTGTCGCCCCTTCTATGACTAGCTCACACGGAAACCTCTGTGATAACAACACCCCCACCCTACAACAGACGTTGATTAGGTCCTTACTGCATGCCAGCTCCTCTGTGCTAAGGGCTTTAGAGGGACCGCCCAGGTTATCATCCAGGCAACCCTGTGAAGGCGGAGGGGAAGTGGTATTGTTCTTCAAATTTTACAGTTGGGGAAATGGAAGGTAGCACAGCCAACAAATGACAGATCCAGGATTTGAACCTAAGAAGTCTGACTGCAAAGCCCAAACTTAAACTACCACATGCATGGCGGTGAGGTCCTAAGGAGGGATGGAGAACTCAAGGCCCAGGGTCTCTGATTGCATCTCATCAGATCTTTCTGTAGCCAGTGAGATTTTAGGGTAGGGGTCAGCAAATTACACCTCATGGGCCTAGTCCGGCCCATCACCTGTTTTTGTAAGTAAAGTTTTATTGGAACACAGCCACACTCATTTGTTTACACATTGGCTGCTCTCCCACTACAATGACAGAGTGGAGTAGTGGCCACCGAGACCCAGTGGCCTTCGAAGCCTAAAATCTGTACTATCCGGCCCTGTTCAGAATAAGTTTGCTGCCCTCTGCATCACGGGATGAGGTCAGAGCATGTCTAGGCCCCTCTTTCTCTAAGAAATAAAAAGAGAGGGCTACCTTAGATAACACAGACGGGATTTGAGGGAGAGGTCAGCAGACACTGAGCGATCAGTTTCCTCACAATAGTTTCCAGCGCGCGTAATGAGGGTTCTTAATTTCTGTGCGTGCCTTGTCTCCCTGGGGGTCGCATAGTGCGCTTGCAGCCATCTCGTTCTGTTTCTCCTCCCTTTGAACTCTAATACCTCGTCTGTGTGCGAAGCAGGCCCTTAAGGCTTGGCTCCAACCAATTGACCAATTCACACAACTCTATGTCCTGCAGAGGCAGGGAGAGAGGACTGCGGTGAGCACCAAAAGGGCCCTGAGAAGTCAAAGAAGTGTAGTGCCCGTGCCAGACCCACACGGAGAGCCCAGGGGGAGCCAGGCCCAGACCCAGGGCATCACCCTGAGATTCTGCATCAGTACTTCCTTGTCTCATTTCTGAAGTTGCTTTTGGATAAAATGTGATATACCCATCTCCGTGCCAGGAGGGAATGGAAACCAAAATGTATCGAGCGCTTCCTACATGCTAGGAACTTATAGGCATTAGGTCACTGGGTCACGTGGCAAGCCTTCATGGTAAATGTCATCGTCCCCATGTAACCCCTTCCGTGTTATAAACGAGGACCTGAGGCGTTAGGTCATCCTAACATCCAGCCAGCGTGTTCTGTGCTGCATTGTAGCTCCCTAAAGATCAAGCGTCCCTAGGGACCAAGGACAGCACGAAGGCCTGGAGCGTGTGTGTCACCCCCTCCCTCTCTTTGTGCTGTCCACTTACACACGTGCCCTAAACTTTCTCCTTCCTCCACCTGTCTCATGCGTCACCTGGATCTCTAACACCAAAGGACGGCGTTGGGCCTAGGCCAGGGGCTCCTGTGTGTGTGGGTGCTCCTTCCAGACAGCTGCCTTCATGTGCCTTCTTCGTCTTTCAGGAATTTAGCCATTGGAATTGGGATCCAGAATTTCCCAGAGGGCCTCGCTGTCAGCCTCCCCCTGCGAGGAGCTGGCTTCTCCACCTGGAGAGCCTTCTGGTAAGTGCTCCAGAGCGTCGGCCGTCAGAGGCCAGGGTCTCTGATATAAAGCTCAGAGCAGTCCTCCGTGCAGGTTTCTTCCTTCAGGAACAACCTCTTCTGACCTGGAAGTGAATCCAGAGCCTCTGGTACAGCACTAACAACCTGGTTGAATCCTTCACCCCCAAGGCTGGGAGGAACCTCGAGAAACTCGTCTCTTGACCTTCAGCCTTTACGTAAACCAGCCCAAATGGCCGTGTTTCCTGTTTTAAAACCCCTCCATGGACAAGCGCACCATGCCCATTCAGTGTTAGGTTTTCTCTCCCTTGGGTAGGAAGAACCGAGGTCAACCTTGTGTCTACTCTAAATGTCACACGCCTTAACGTAGGCTTCTGTTACCATGGCCTGTCCCCGAGAGCCGTTACCTTAGCTCCTATCATAACCCTTGTCAGTGTGAAGCCCAGGATTATGTCACCTCCCCTGGTCTGGGGAGATGAGGCCCATTGCACTCATGCCGACTGTTTCCATAGTCCTCAGGGGCTTTCTAGTCTATTCCTTAATTTTACCTTTTCAGTGACGTGTAAGGTGAGTCCCCCGTTTTCAGAGGACGGAACCATGGCCCAGAGTGTTGGTCAGGTGACCAGCTCAAGTCACCTGGCTCATCAGCGGTGACTCCAAGTCTCATCTTCTGCCACTCAACTCAGGACTCTGAGCCCCAGAACACCTCGTTGTTAAAACAATTGCCGCTCTAGAATGTATGATCAGAACATTTAAAAGGACTGCTAATGACTACAATTTAAAAATACCTTTCAGGGGCCAGCCTGGTGACATAGTGGTTAAGTTTGTGCACTCCGCTTCAGCGGCCTGGGCTTCGTGGGTTCGGATCCCGGGCATGGACCTACACGCTGCTCATCAAGCCATGCTGTGGAGGCCACTCATATACAAAAAGTAGAGGAAGATTGGCACGGATGTTAGCTCAGGGACCATCTTCCTCACATTAAAAAAAGACAAAAACCCTTTCATTTTATAAGGCCTTATGACTTACAAGTTCTTGCACATACTTAAATTATTTTATTTCCACCCTCCATTACTTCTTTCTCCACTGTTGGAGTCTGCAGAATTGAGGGCAGGGCAAGAGACCCTAGAGATTTTTTCCAAGGGTGAGTTGCATGAGCCAGAGGGGCCTGACTGTCATCTCATACAGCAGAGGCACCACGGGAGGTGAGGGGAGGGAATGAGGCCTTTGTGGTCAGTGTCCAGACCCTGAGATTAAACTTTTTTAAATTCTCACTCCAGTCTGGGCTTGACGTCAAACCCATTTTTTCCTGAGGTGACACAGCCAAGGCCAGGAATTATACACACTAAGGAGCGGCAAGGTCCCCTGGCCTGTACACAAGCGTGGGAGCCAGGAAGCATGGCCCCACAGAGGATTCTGCAGCACAAACAGGGTCTCCCCCATGCCGGCCTTCTGCTTCTGGCCAGGGAGAAACAGGGAGGGGGTCGGAGTTCACGGTCCTGGATGTCTCTCACCCACATTTTACAGATGGAGGGATTGAGGCTCAGAGGCAGTATATCATGCCGAATGCCCACAGCAAGGGGCAGTGGGAAAGATGTCCCAGCTCCTTGTCTATTGGCATTCAACCTGTAGCAGGTATCTTTTCCAGTGGGGCTCAGCTATGGGGTTCAGATACCAGCTTATCTCCTGCTCTCTGAATCCCCAGTGCTCCTGTGGCCTACTGTTTTAACCAGGGCACATTTGATTTCAAGCAACAGAGACCCACTCTTGCTAGCTCAAATAAAGGGGTTTTTTTAAAGGAGAAATCTCATCTTAATCCAAGATGGAGGTAGTGGGGACAGGCCCTCAATATATACAAGGCCAGGAAGGTCCGCCTCTGCAGCAGAGGTGGGTGGGTACAGCTCCTTCAGAAGGGGTGCATTTGTGGTCTGAACCCCCAAACATGCCAGGCACGACTGTCCTTGGGAAATGTCCATACCACTTCTAATCAGCGTCCTATCGTTCAAAAGGCAATGTAGGCATCAGCTGATGAATGGATGTAGAACATGTGTGGTATCCATACAATGGGATAGTATTCAGTCATAAAAGGAATGAAGTATTGATACATGTTACAACATGGATGCACCTTGAAAACATTATGCTAAGTGAAATCAGCCAATTAAAAGGACTACATACTGAATGATTCCATTTATATGAAATATCCAGGAGAGGCAAATCCATGGAGACAGAAGGTAGACTAGTGTTTGCCAAGGGCTGGGGGGAGGGAGGAATGGGGAGGGGTTTCTTTTTGGGATGATGAATAATGTTCTGGAATTAGAGAGTGGTGATGGTTGCACAACCTTATGAATATACTAAAAACCACTGAACTGTACACATTCAATGGGTGTACCATAGGCCATTTTTTTATTTTAATAAGACGACGTAGGAAACTTAGAACTCTAAAAGAAACACCTTGGAGGGGAGGTGTCTGCTGTGACCGTGAAACAGGGAGGTGGGGAAGGAGAGGGAGGTGGTTAAGAAAACGACGGAGCGCTTTTGCAGTGCCGTGCCAGGTGTCGTGTGGAATAAAACGCATCCGTTTTCTAGAGTTGAGTCAGCAGTCTGAGCATGTTGAGTGTCTGCTGGACTCCCCCAGGTCACACGTGTCTCTGTTCCCTCTGTAGGTACGGGCAGCTAAGTGGCATGGTGGAGCCTCTGGCCGGGGTCTTCGGTGCCTTTGCCGTGGTGCTGGCTGAGCCCATCCTGCCCTACGCTCTGGCCTTCGCTGCTGGAGCCATGGTCTATGTGGTCATGGACGACATCATCCCCGAGGCTCAGATCAGGTTGGAGAGCTTCCCCTCCCTTGTCCGTCCCTGTCCGCAGCCCAGCCCAGGCCCCAGCCTCGGATCTGCCCTTTCTTCTTTTGCCACTCCTTCCTTTCCTTCCACCCCTTCCTGCCCCTTCCCAAGATCATCCCCACCCCCTCCTCAACTGTGCTCTCTGAAACGGAAAGAAAGAGGAGGCATCGGTGGTGGGTGGAGAGGCAGATGAGGTGATATGAGGAGCGGCATACACCCCCACTCCCCTCCGATGAAACAGACTATTGTTTTTGTATATTCTCTCTCTCTATCTCGATTTTTCTGGGGCTGGAATGAGGGGAAAAGTGAGCTCTAAAATGTTAACCAAAGCTATACATCCATGTTTTCTCATCGTCTAGCTACAGGCCAGGTATTGCGGGGGCGGGGGCGGGGGGGGGCTTCCTTTTTTGTTTTATTGTGGTTTTTATAGCAGAATGATTTTAAGGCTAGATTACAAGGTCAGATTAAATAATATCTTCAAGGAATAATTGCCACTCTTTATTACTCAAGCGTGGATTCCAGAGCCATGTTGGGTGACCTTGGGCAAGTTACTTATTTTTCAGTGCCTCAGTTTCCCCACCAGTAAAATGGGAATAATAATAGTACTGACCTCGTGTGGTTATCCTGTGGGATCACATGAGTTAATCAGTTTGCCTGGCATATAGTAAGCCCCAATAAATATTACTTGTCAATGTTATTATCATTATTAGTAGTAGTCTTCTGTTTTCTATTGGAATTGGACATTGCCAAGGATGATTTCAGCCCGGACAGTCTCCCAGAGTGCGTTAAAGTCTTACTTCTCTTCCTTTCCTTCCCTCCTAGTGGAAATGGGAAGCTGGCGTCCTGGGCCTCCATCCTGGGATTCGTGGTGATGATGTCACTCGACGTTGGCCTGGGCTAGTGCTGAAGTGCCTCGGAGCCCAGGAAAGGCAGCATGAGGAAACTACGATGGTTGGCTTCTATGGGACCACATGCCCCTTTCTTCACATTAAAACATTTTTCCTTTCGCTTCTTTTCATCTCATTATCCTAATTGACTCTGATTATAGTATGACAATTTTTACTTTTCTTTTGAGAGAGATATTGGTTTTATCTGGAATTTCAAGGTGTCATAGAACTACAGATTTTTGCTTGGTCACTAAATGGACTCTTTCTTCAGTGGGATTACCAAGGACATACAGATCAGGAAAATCTCTGCTTTTGTACCTTCACTCTCCCTCACTAGATTTAATGGCAACGCCTCAAGGTCACCTACAGAAGCAAGCTACCAAGAGAGAAGTCGCCTAAGCATTTTTGCCTGGTGACTCAGAGCACAATGGCCAGGACATTTTTTGTCTATCCCTCCTGATCTGTCACCATAGATCCTCTACCCATCTAGACCGGAACTGGAGCATCGTGGACATAGCAAGTACTTTCCAAGGCCCAGCCAGCCCAAGGAAGAATGTATCTTCCCCTACCTCCCCCAGGGAGATGCTGTATGGGAGGGGATACAGAAAAGGGAAGAAAATGAGCTAGTCTTTCTCTCTCTCTTTTTAAGGCAAAGATTGACACTACTGAAGTTAAGGGAATTAGGACAACTGTGAACACACAGGGAGCCTGTGACAAGAGGACAGAGTATGGCTTTGATCTCTAATGATTGCAAGAGCAAAGTAGTTTGTCATGGTGTCCAAATCCCCCAGATGTTTATTTTGATAAGTTTATAGCTTCGTTTTTCTAAGAGACTTGGGGACACCAGCAATCTGCTAGAACCCAAACACTTCATTTACTTATGGAGGGAGCCACTTAAGCTAATTTAAGTGAATGAAAGACATTTAGAATCTGCACTGGGTCCCTCTCTGTTGACCATTTGGTAACTTGTAACCTGACCCAGGACTCTTAAGCTGCAGCAGGCTTTGCTGGAGTTTGGCCAGAGAGTTTAGGATTAGAAAGGAAGAAGGGATAGGAGAACAAAAAAAAAGGAGAGAGATTTTTACATTTCCCTTTTAAAGTAAACTTTAGCCAAGTCATCATTCTGAAATGACCCTAAAGAATGACTTGAACGAGACTAGAAGCGAATCTACTCCTTCTTACACGTAGCTTCTCCAACAGGGTGATAAAACATGTCTGCTTCAAACACAGTAAGGCCTGCCATCCTCATTGGTCAAAGGAGCGTATGGGACCTTGACTGGGCTCCACTGGCAAGGCAGGCTGCCCAAGAGCCAGGTATTCAGACATTGTGTTATCAACACCTGCCCTGAGTTTACATGTTTCATTGCTTCCAAGGGTGAATACCCTGCTCTGTGAATGCTCTAAGAACCCAAGGGCCAACCCTATGCTGAGTCTATGTGTGTTCTTCCAAAGCACTGATGATCAAAATTGAAGACACATTCAGAGGTTTGATTGGTTGAAATTAATTGGTTTGATGGTTGGTGTTTGTGTATTTTTATGTCTTTGTATGTAGTTCTGCATAATGCAAACTTCTTTCTGATGGACAAGACCTCATACTGTGATTAATATCAATAAAAGGGATATTGTCATGGATGACCTGTGCTTTGTTCAATCCTTCTCAGAGCTGCTTCTTTCCAGGGTTGGTAACATAAGAGGTAACTAAAGTTAGTCCTAATATTTCCTCTTCCCAGCACCAGTAGGAGCAAAGGAAAGGGGTGAGATGAGAAGAGCTAGTTAGATTCAAGGTTGCAAACAACAGCATCCAACCCAACCTTACTTAGACCAAGAATTTAATGGAAGGCTATCAGGGAGCTCACAGGATCTTAAGGAGAATCAAGCTTGAAAATGGGTTGGAGCCAAGAAAACTAGAGGTCTGGGACCATGGTCCAATCACATCTCGAAAACAGCTTGGTTTGGATGCCATGGCCCCCAGTGTTGGTCTCTGAATACTGGACACCGCCACTCAGACGCTGCCCTTTGATGCCACCACCACCACCACAGGAATGAACTCTAGCCCTGATTCTCTGTGACTTGGCTCCACATTCAAAGTTCGGGGCTGGAACATCTAGCTGGCAGAGCTTAGATCCTGTGCCCATGAACTAGCTGGTCCTGCCCCCTTCCCAAGACTCTCACAACAATGGATTTTCAAATTTTGGAATGAGTTTAGGTGGTGGAAAGCCAAAAGAAGAGAAAAAAGTTCATTAAGTTTATTACAGCCTCACTCTTTTGCTATTCAACATCTAGACACACTAAAATTCCTCTATTTTCTCTTAAAAGAACCTTTCTGCTTAGATAACAGAGCTATCCCTCACACAATGGAAACTTCACACTTCCCTCTCCCAAAGGGAGCTACCCCAGTGGCCAGCTGCCCCAGTGGTGGAGCATTCCTTTCTTGGGTTCAAAAACTCTAAGCTGGTGGAGTCCAAAGTTGAAGAGAGTGAGAGTCCTTAGGTAAAGTGGAGGGGGCACCATCCCCACTCCCCCTTCTTCCAGACCTGCTTAGTCTGGCTATGGGAGAAACAGCACCACATATTGATCACTGGTTCTGAGCAAACACCAATCTTAAGGGACAATATCTCAAGCTTGTTAGCTGTTGTCTCAGAGCTAGTCCTGAAACGAATTCATGTCAGTTCAAAACAGATGACAGCTTCTGGGTAATAGGATCAGATTACACGGGTATCTGCCCACTGCCTTCTCTATTTGACCATAAAGTGAATTCCTTGGTCAGAAGCAATGTCCTATAGGATGCCATGATGATATGACAGACAGGGAGGCAATTCCAAATCCAGACATATGAGCCTGTCTCAGTGAGGAGACATCTCTGCCTTTTCCATAATGGAAGAGGTCCAAGGTCATCAGTCTGCAACTGAGTAGTCCGCGGGTGTCCCTGAAGTATCATCAGTATCGGGGTCAGGTATCATCGTTGATCCTTTGTGCATTCAGTGACCAGGTCTGCGTCAATGACAGAAAGCTATGTGGTTGAATCTATGCATAGTTCCATTTGGCAACATGGGCACTTTTATTCTTTAATCAGTTGAGAAAGCAATGATGTGCCTGGGGAAAGGAACTGTCCATTCATAGAGTAGATTGTCCAGTGAATTATTAAGAGCCTACTCCCTAGTGGGGACTTTGGGTGACTTTTACTTGAGGGACAATTATTTTCACATTTGGCCCATTCTGAGAGGTGCAGCCATATATGCCTCCCCAAACCTCTCTGTCACCAAACTCTAATCTTGCCTCTTTCAAGTGCTTGACCATTTGGCCAGACCATTTGGTCAGACCATTTGCCACAGCTCATAAACTGGTACAGCTTCATGCATCAAACTATCTTTCCTTCCAAGCAAAGTGGACATAGAGGGATGTGCTTAGAATTCTCCCCACGGGGAGGTTTTCTCTCCATCTACTATCCTCATTGGCACTATAACATCGCACAGTCCATTTCTAGTTTGGGCCAGCACATCACGCAGAGCCATGTGTAAACCAGGCTCAGTGGTTTTTCCTCTCTCAGCCACTGGCTCTTGGGAAACTCACCTTGAGGACACTGTTAGATTGATGAAGGGGTCAGGAACAGGCACATGAGGCACGTGAGCTACCTGTGCGTGCAACTTGTGCCTTCAGGACTGGTCAGGCCCAGTCCCGTAGAAGCGATTTCCAATGGGTAATTGGATTTTATAAGTGTGGTAGATGCTCCAGTATATGAGGGACAGCATGGGGGACAGATGACAATCAGTACTTCAGGGATAATCACCTGGTATCCAATGGTCAGGCTCTCCTGAGGCCCCAAAGTCACTCCTACCTTCTGCTAGCACAGCAGACTTGGACTCTCCATAAAAATTATCTATCAATACATTCAGACCAATTTAAAATTATGTTCTTCCCTCCATTGCCAAGCACCTTAAAAATCTCTTCCCACACATATTTCCCCAAATTTGTCAATAAAAATTAGAAAAATCCTGAAATTATGTTAGTTTTGAATTCTTATCCTCCCTGATTTGAGTTTCTCATTGCCCTTCCTTTGGGGCATGCTGGGATATATGGTCATGTGTCACTTAACGACAGGGACATGTTCTAAGAAATGCGTCATTAAGCGATTTTGCCATTGTGCGAACATCGTAGAGTATACTCACACAAACAACCTACATGGTACAGCCTACTATACACCTAGCCTATATGGCACTAATCTTATGGTACCACCGTCGCATATGCGGTCCGTCATTGACCGAAATGTAGTTGCGTCGTGCATGACTGTCACTCTTGTCATTTCTGGAGACAGTACAGGGTAGCGCACAAGGAGAACTGGCTCTCTCTTGTAGGGTGACTCTCTTAAGCAAAGGAATTACAGTGTCTTAAAGAAGTGTTTCAGAAGACTGGAGAAAAGGGGCTGTTTCAGCTCACAAAGAAGGCTCTTTGAAGACTGAGAATTCAGAGAACTCCCAATTTTTTGAATCCTCCTGTATGTCTCCATTTTGATTCTCTGGGTCCTCCTGCTTCCTGGGTCAATGTTCCAATATTCCATGGAAAGATTATAATTTTACCAACGTAGAAATTCAGCCAATCCTTGGGATCAAATTTTGCCTGTTTTTCTATTTTTCTCAGTCTTATGGACACAAGGGGTAAGAGGATCCTAAAGAACTGTCATAGAAATCCCTAGGTTCAGGCTCTCCCTTGAGCTGATTTCAGGACCCAAGCTTGCCAATGTCTTTTTTTAAGCTGCATGGCACTGCTTAACAGCCTCTCTCAATCCTAGCCTGGACTGTTTGATGAAGAAACAACTTATTCCCTCAAGGCTTTCGCGTTAATGGACCCTTCCTTCATTCCAGGTGACTGGTATGAGAGTGGGGATGGGGGAGGTATTCGGGTCTGGATCTTCTCTGGGGACCTAACAGAAGACATCTTCATCCCACTGTGCTGGGGGAAGGACCAAAAGGCCACTAGTGAGGTGCAGACTGGGCCAGGCTGGGTGCTGCGTGCTCTCACCACCTCCTGTAATCCTCCTTGACTTCGATATTACCTATCACCCACTTTACCGAGGAAGGTGAGGTCCAGGAAGTCTTACTCACCAGCTGGTGACAGGCAGGGTCGGTTCTGCTTTGCGCAGAGGATGCAGAAATTGACTTCCCGACTGTCCTCCCCTAAAGCTTTCCTGGCGCACCTCCTGCACTCCCCCCCCCCCCC